TTTGTCGTCGTGTACCTTGACGATATTCTTATCTTTAGTAAGTCTATCGAGGAGCATGCACAACACTTAGAAACTGCACTCTCTCTCCTGCGACAACACAAGTATAAGGTCAACCTAGAAAAATGTGAGTTTGGACGCACTAGGATCTTGTACTTGGGTCATGAGGTATCCGCGGAAGGGATTAGGCCGGAAGATGCGAAGGTGGCTAGTATTAGGGACTGGCCACGACCTCAGATTGTTACTGAGGTGAGATCTTTCTTAGGAATGTGCGGTTACTATAGAAACTTCGTAAATAATTATTCTACAATCGCCTCTCCTTTGACTGATCTCACTCGACTTGACACACCTTGGGACTGGAGTGATGAGTGTGAGGCTGCTTTCAAACGATTGAAGCATGCACTCATGAATCATGAGGTTCTCATGGTGCCCGATCCTCAAAAGCCTTTCATTGTGACCATTGACGCAAGCCAATATGGCATTGGCGCAGTGCTGGCTCAGCAGGATGGGAAGAAGTTGAGACCGATTGAGTACATGAGCAAGAAAATGCCATCAAAGAAACTGGCAAAGTCCACCTATGAAAGGGAACTCTATGCTCTCTACAAAGCACTTGTCCATTGGAGGCACTTTCTGTTGGGACAGTTTTTCTATTTGAGAACTGACCATCAGACCCTTAAATGGATCAAGACTCAACCGGCTCTTTCTGATGCACTCAAGCGCTGGATTGAGGTCATAGATCAGTATGACTTCAAGCTAGAGTATCTGAAGGGGGAGTACAACAAGGTTGCAGATGCGCTGTCGCGAAGGGCAGAGTACCTAGGGGCGCTAGTTTTCGAGTTTGGTGTATCTGAGGAATTAACTGAATCGCTGGTGGGAGCCTATCAGGAAGACCCTGTCACGATGGACATCATATGCAAACTTCAGGAAAAAGATAAGGCCACAGAAGATGAGTTTGTGATGGTGGACGGGCTACTCTTTTTTGACAAGGCCGGGTCTAAGAGATTAGTAATTCCATCTAGTGAACGTTTGCGTAGTTTATTCTTAGGAGAATGTCATGACGCAACTGGACACTTTGGCTACAAAAAGACGAGTGTCAATCTAGTACAACAATTTTGGTGGCCCGGAATGCTAGATGATGCAAAGAAGTATGTGGAGACCTGTCAGGTCTGTCAGCGGGACAAGCCGCGAACTCAAGCACCGCTTGGGTTGCGGAAGCCCTTACCTATCCCCGCTGGTCCGGGGCAGAGTGTTTCCATGGATTTCATGGACACCCTGGTGACGTGTAGGAGTGGCAAGAGGCATATCTTTGTCATCATAGACCGATTCACCAAGTACGCTAGACTAATTGCCATGCCAGAGACCGCAAGGACTGAACACGTCATCAAGTTGTTTATGGA